GTTTCAACTCGATCGATTTCACTCTCAAGTCGAATCGAAAACATGAAATTTCTTATTCGTTTTGAATTTTTCTTATGAGCCAAAGGATATCGATGTAACGTTCAATGCGACGGTAGAATAGAATAAAAAATCCTTAGAATTATTAACGACTACTAATGAGTATTTATGGCGGAAGTAAAAACGACACTCGCGATAGGGTGAGTTCTTTAGTACGATATAACGCGCTTGAAATGTATGTACGTCATTTTTCTCTGTATAATCTCTCTCATCCTTTACTCTCCTTATCCAGCGAAGTGTTATACGCACCTAGGCGGAGTAAAAAGGACCATTTAATTTGGAAGTCTAATGTCCTCGCAAGATTCTTTGAAAAATTCGCATTAAAATTCTTTTTCCTAGCACGGACCAATTTTATGGTGTCTCAACTTTTCTGTATTATACAAATGACACTTTAAACGCGTTTTAAAAATTGCGTACCGTAAATATTTTTTAGAAAGAATATCGTACTGTTCATCGGTAGATCCATTCGTTTTTTATAAAATTCAACTTGTTTTTTTTTTCATTTAAACAATAACTTACTCCACTCGATTGGCGGGGTTGGCGGTATATTTGACCTGGTATTTTTTCATGAATTATTACAACTATTTCCGGGAAATCTAATACAGTGCGAATTAAAAATTGCATTTAACAGTGATGGGAATTGAAACATCGAACTGGTTTTTTGGACTCTCAATTGTATGAAATAGTTTTACTTCCCACCTAATATTTCAGGTCAAATTGAAACTTTCCGTTTAAATGAATTTCGAATTTGAACATTTCTCATGTCCAATACACGCAGCTGGTATTAATTAAAGAGTTTCAAAAGAGATTATCTTTCCTTTAACATCCGAAGTCTTAACCAGTCGCGCTAGTCCTAGTATTAAACCGACTGACCCAGTTACTCTGTACATTTTTATGGAATTGACGTTAGACGTCTGCTCCAATTCATTTCTGAAGTTCGCGTTGTCTTATCGGGGACCAGCTAATAAAATGCTCTTCTCTGCTGAATCGACGGATAATTAATATCAGTTTTCTGCTTTCGTTGTTACATTTTGCATTGTTACAGCAACATGATCAGATTCATCGTATTACATAAACTGATCCACACTTTCCAATTTCAGCTCGAATATCCTTAAAATTCTTTGCTGAATTTTGCGATCGTTTTTCTGTCGACAAATCGCGACAATTTCAAGAAGCGTAATAAGTAATCGACACCGACCGTCTGATAATGCGACGGATCACGTGGAGCCAAATGCGATGCTATTTACGTAGTTAACTATTTCGCGGCACACTCTTTGACTTCGTTGCTTAATTCCGGTTCGATCTGCTATCGACAACTGCGCAATATCGATTTCTGCGTTTACGGAAACGCGGTTCAACTTATGTTAGAGGTTGGTGCAAGAGTTCTCCCAAGTTACGTTTTATGAAATATTTCTATTAACAGCTCGGCCAGTTCCTTTTGACGTTAACGTTGAAAAAATTGTTTCGGAACGTGAATAGAGCAGCCACTTAAACGATACCGTAAATTGCGGAACGGTCCTTTTCAAATTCGCGTACGACTTCATTTCGCTTTGTTCGAGCTCGAGTTTGTTCCAAACTTTCTCCCTTTCTTTCCCGCCCTCGGCGAGAGCGGCACACTTGGCTCGTCGAGCTTCCCGGGGCTTAATATCCGATTTTAATATCGGAATTTTTCTCTCGTTTCACGAATTGGCATTCAAGGCCGAGGTGAGTGCCGCAGTCAGGAGCTTACGAACAAGAAACTATCCGGTATGTGGCTCTAGTCTAAATAGGCAATTTGACCTGTACTACTATACATACATAGTAGCACGTTACTCTTCCATTGAACACGAGGACAACGAACACTAGGAGGACTTTCTAATATAGTAATATGTACATCTATGAGTAACTCAGTCGATTCGATCGTCTCATTGCGAAAGAAAACCCGGTCACATCAGAGGTCTACGACAGCCCGTTTATCCTATTTTTATTTATTCACTCGTATCGAATCCATGAAAGTTAAGCTCTAATAAAATAATTTCATGGCACATAAAACAATCTTTAAAGAACTTATACGATTCGAACCGTTCTCGAACTGTCTCCGGAATACGCAGCTTGTTCGGTCAGATAGCGTTTATCAATTTAAGGATGTATTGATTATACAGTCAATCCCAAAAGTTTATGCACTTTAGAAACACATTTTTTAAAAAGAAATCAGACGTCCGAAGAACATTGCTAATAA